TATTTCCATTGGAAGTTCTCAGCTGACGTGGTTTATGTTATCTCGTACATTTCATTCTTTTGCGATTATGTAGTGCCAGTTTAAAATAATTGAAGAGGGATGTTTGTCGCCAAGATCCACAGGTTCTATCCATCGAAATCATTTTTAACCGTTGATCTCAAAAAAAGGTGTTATTTACAGCTGAGTGTTTAGATATTTCTGAACGTGTCTGGCACCGTACATGAAATCTATATGGAAGCCTCGATGGGATGAAGCTATTTAAACAGATGAATTGAGTTTTCAGGTTTTGTATCAGCTTGCGGTTTGGCGCAGATTGTACCTCTGACGCACCCTATTCTATGTTCAATTTCTTTATCTTCTCTACTAAATTTGTAATAACTGATCATAAACTAAGGAAGTAATTTTTTTTTTATTTCGCATGCAGAACTTTTATGATGGGTTTCGGGTTAGTTGTCATCATTGCTTTTATTCCAATACCAGATCATGTTTTCTGTCTTGGAAATGTTTATCGTGTGTCCTATTCTTTGGAATTCTTTGTAGCAGGGAAAGGCAGAAGAGTGAAAATTGCAGAAGGCAGCACAAGAAAAAGAGAAAAAGGAGAAACACTATCACCGATGTAGGGAGAGAGAGAGAGAGACTGAGAGAAACTGGGAGAGAGAGAGAGGCTGAGACTGACTGACTGGAGTTGATTGTTAGACCAGATAATAACTAAGAGAGAAACCATAAAATTCATCACGAAATTTCCTCCCCCACTACAGAAAATGACACCCTGGGAACATTGCATCAATTGTAATAATTAACGACTCCATAATATTGCAATTAAACTTATTCCATTGTGCAGATGATGTTTCATGGGTGCACTTTCCACAGGTGAACCTTTCGATGTCGAAGTTTAACTAGTCGTAGTAAATCTGCCTCAGAGTCGACAGCAGTTTTGAATTTTAATTGCCTTACTAAAGCTAATCAACAACATTTTAACGTCTAAATAACTACACTGATGGAAAACAAATATCCAACACATTCAAAATAAGTTTCAATTATACAAGTAATATAGTTAGTTGGCACTAAATTGTCCCTTATACAGATCAATATGTGTACAGGTATCAAAAGAATGGGTGTATCAATAATACACAGACCTCATATTTATACACTGTATATTTTTGTGTTTTTTTTTAAAAAAAAAGGGCCTGTACCTTTGAATTAATACGATGAGTCATATGTCGAATACAGTTTTGCTATTCATAAGTCCACATTATTGTAAATATTACGCAGTCTGCAAAGATATAGTCGGGCTAAGTAAATCTGTCAGGCACCGCTCCATCATGCCCTATTCAAGTTCAGTCAGGCCATAATGCTGGATAATCTTGCTGAATATTTTGACAAGTGTTAAGTTGAAGGAACAACACGTAGGCCGGCATTCTTCTTCTTCTTCTTCTTCTTCTTCTTCTTCTTCTTCTTTACCTCCTCCTTTTTCTTCTAGGTTCCCTGTCCTTTCGGGACGTTGTCGATCATGTCTCTCCAGAATTTTCAGTCTTTTGTATCTTTTTTTTTTTTTAATCTCTCCTAAAATCTGTTCAGCCATCCAAGGTCTTTAGGCAGGTTATGCGCTGTTTTAAGTTGATCTTCCGTGAGTGTCATATTTCCCAGGCCCTCTTTCCTCATTATGTTCTCTAGAAATTTCGACTGTCGCTTTCTGATAATTATCAGAAGTGTCCATTTTGTTTCCATTTTCTCTAAAACTTTGCCGTTGCTCACATGTTCAGTCCAAGGTATTCTCAAAGTGGAAGTGTATACCAGGCACATATATCACTCACTTGAATGCTCATAATATGGAGAAAACGTTGATAAGAGCAACGCATAATTTTAACAGGAGACCAAGTTAGATATATATCCAGGTTTGAAAACCCAATCTTCACAGTTTCTATTTCAAGTTGTTGACAATAGTCAAGGTGTGACTTCCAAGTTAACATGTAAGCCTCATCCTTCAAACACAAAAAGATATCATGTTCGTCCCATTATACTCTGCCATTACTCCCGTTCATGAACAGGGATCCTCACTGCGTCATATCCAAATTGTTAATGTCAAGCAACTATCAACTTAGTGAAAGGGATATTTATATGGATTGTAGCCGATCTTAATTCCCCAACCTAACATACGGACATGTTAACGCCTTCAAACAATTGAATCCAGAAGACATAAGAGTCAGGCCTGTTACTGTATCAGGGTTTTTGTTGTTATTGTTGTTGTTGTTGCTGCTATTATTATTATTATTATTATTATTATTGTATGCTATATTTCTTGCTGTGTATCCTGTAGAACCGGGTAAAAACTATGGTCTTTAGGCCCTATATGAAAATTGTCATTTAGTTGATAGCACTTTTCTTACTATCTGGGATGTTCCTAGTAGGATGATTTTCTGGGCTACTTGTATGTTCATGTTACCTGGAACACTGCAGGTAAAATTGTCCATTCCTTACCTCACTTCATTCTCCAAATCCTGTTAATCTCGATCCCCAGGTCCTGATATTTGGATAATTTCTCGATAATTTTTATGAAAGATGTTTCTCTCAGATGGTACTGCTATGTCAATAATCATAGAGTTCCTGAATTTCTTGTCTTTTATGAAATATCATGTCTGTTGGCTTTTATTTCCCTGTTAGTCTCCTTTGGCATATCCCAGAGGATAGTTACATCGTTATTTTAGGTAACTGTGTCTGGCTTGTGCTTATATCATCTCTAAGTGGATTCGATGTTGTGCTTCTTGCATATATTCCAGTGCACATATGTCACTACATTGTTATGTCTTTGGGTATATTCTTTTCTTACCAGTTCCAGACATCCTGAGATAATATGGTTTATTATTATTAATACAATTATTATTGTTATTATTATTATTATTATTATTATTATTGTTGTTGTTGTTTTTGTTGTTCTTGTTCTATTTTTAACGCCTGGCCGAATGGTTATAACACTGGAATCTCATCGTAGTCGATTTATCAGGAAGGTGACTTCTTGGAGTTATTAGCCTGGGGAGGCGATTCCAGCGAAGGAAAAGAAAGGTAATTTCGGACATAGACGCCAACGATTTACATTCTATTATATGTCCCAGAAATTTAAGCTCTCTTTATCTGATTCTAACTGTATTTACATTCCTACTCATTGCATACATGTCCCGTCAAGGTTTTTCAAAGCAATTTTTTTTCTGTAGAACTACATATATGTCATTCTAAGCCTTCTCTTCATGAGAGACGTGTCCAGCATTCTATGCCTTATAGGAGGATTGATTTTACTCTGTGTTTTGCACATTTTTTACCTCGTTTCTTGTTGTGGATCTCGAGATGATATTCGGTCTCCAATGAAGGACAAACACAGGAATTAAAGATAAGAAATTAAATGTATTTACACAATAATACAACGGGTAATACTGTTAGTAAATCCAGGAACGCGGTTAGTAATAATATATATATATATATATATATATATATATATATATATATATATATATATATATATATATATAGTTTTAAAAACTAGGAAACCATTGATTTTAATATTAAAGTCTCTAGAGCCCTTTCAAACATCTCATCAGGGGACAATCGTTGGATTAGCGAAATGAATAATAGCGATATTGAAGAGCAAAAAAAGAGGGGAAACACACTAAAATAACGAACAAATATATATACTTGTAACGAGGGAAGGGTTATCGTGTAAATAAATTGCGAGGACAGTTAAAATAAAATATCCCCCAACAGATTTAGAGACCTTATAAATTCTTTCTGCCGGCAGAGAGAAGGTTTTCTAAATCCTATACAGACCGATTCCAAAATCTTCAAATGATTATTGGAATCAGCTGTATGAATAATTCTAAACCACTCTTTTTTATACAACTTGGCACAAGCTATATTCTCAACTAAATGTTGAGCAATAGCCGATTCCATATTCATGGGGGGAAGATAGCATATTCTATCTATCTTACCAAGTCGTATTTTGGAAGGAACGTGCTGATTAATTCTAGTTTCCAAATGCAAGGTTGTACGCCCCACATAACCAGCAGCACACTGGCAATTAAATTCATATACTAAATTACTCAATTTGATGATATTTACACGATAACCCTTCCCTCGTTACAAGTATATATACTTGTTCGTTATTTTAGTGTGTTTCCCCCTCTTTTTTGCTCTTCAATATCGCTATTATTCATTTCGCTAATCCAACGATTGTCTCCTGATGAGATGTTGGCTGAAAGGGCTCTAGAGACTTTTAATATTAATCAATGGTTTCCTAGTTTTTAAAACTATTTATAAATTTTGTACCTCCAAACATTTGTGTGTATATATATATATATATATATATATATATATATATATATATATATATATATAGTCACGAAGGAGGACTTCCTTAGAGTCTACGTGCTTGTAACGGACTTCTACAAGCGGTTACCTCACACTATTACTCTACCTCCAACTCAATCACAATCTCTCTCTCTCTACTCTGACTGACTCTGGGTATTTAACGGCAGCAGTCCAAGTAACACTCTGGTCGAGTCCACTTATATGAAAAAGGGGAGGACCCCATAACATTTCTAAAGAAATATTTCTCTTTCTTAATACACTCATTATGTTTTTGTTTTTTTCATTTTAAATAGATCTTTTGCGATTTAAGACATGTTTGGACTTCAGTGTCACGTTTTCCGTCTTCTGTTCAAACATGTCACAGATATTTGAACATCTGTACTTGTACGATTTTGACATCAGCAATTTGTGGCTTTCATCTTGGACATTTTCTCTTGCTGCGAACCAGGAATAATAAAAGAGACATGTGAAAATGCGTTATACCGACGAATATTGAGAATGTCTTGGTGATAATCTATGAAACATAAGGCAGAATAGGAACTACAAGAAAACTGTTGGCAATTATCAGGAAAAAACAGCTGCAATTTTGGCGACAGTGAACGAAGAAGACTTGGAGAAATCTTCTAAGACAAGAGAAAAAAGAAATGATTGTTCCAAGAAACGTACAAGAAAGGTTTGAGCAAATTGATGTGAAACACATCTATCGCAAATACAAAGTTAGGTTTTAAAAAAATGAAAGTTTTACGGAAGTAAAAATAGAGAAAATTATGGAGAACAGTGATTTTTAACGTTCTGAAAATATTACATAGCGAGTCAAGAAATCTATCTATCTATCTATCTATCTATCTATCTATCTATCTATCTATCTATCTATCTATCTGTCTGTCTATCTATCTATTGCGGTCTGTTTCTATCTCTCTATCTATTGCAGTCTGTCCCTATATATCTATCTATCTATTGCAGCCTGTCCCTATCTATATATCTATTTATCTATGGCGGTCTGTTCCCTATCTATCTATCTATCTATCTATCTATCTATTTTGCGGTCTGTTTCTATGTATCTCTCTATTACGGTTTGTTCCTATCTATCTATCTATCTATCTATCTATCTATCTATCTATCTATCTATCTATCTATCTATTGCGGTCTGTTTCTATGTATCTCTCTATTACGGTTTGTTCCTATCTATCTATCTATCTATCTATCTATCTATCTATCTATCTATTTAAACCTCCGCAAATCAACATGCAGAAAACATGAAACATAAACGATGTCTACTGCTATGCTCACACACACATTCACACGCACAGGTACATATGAATATAAATTGTCATCCGAATACCGCATATAAAAACGAGAATTATGATACACTTACACACACAAATTATACACAAGAACTCTGCTTGACAAGTCAAATGCACCTGAAGCCTGCTTAACCCATGAAAATCAGACAACATAAAAATAGAAATAGCATAATTTTCTGTTTCTCCATATCTCATTCTCTGATGAAGCGTTAATAAAATGAAACATGTCAGATTTATAAACGTTTCCCATTTGTTCTTTAGCCTATCATTCTGTTGGATTCCGATACATATTTGACCCCAATTCTTTCTCTCTTTCTAACTATCTATCGCAGTCTATTTCTATCTATCTATCTATCTATATATCTATCTATCTATCTATCTTAATTCTCTTCATATCTCTCTATCCAACTACCAGAGTCGCTTCATATCTATCTATCTATCTATCTATCTATCTATCTATCTATCTATTCGTTTGTGCATACGTTCAAACCGACAGTTACTTATGGAATTGTTATATTTTTTCCTGAAATATTATCCATATTTATGCCTTCGAATATTCTGGAAGATTTTTTTTATTGAATAATGGAAGACTTTCTTCTATGTTCGCTTCATTTTGAATATATGTTATTTTTTTTACGATTTGCACGTGTTCAGAATTCAACTGTTTCATTATTTTTTTTTCTTTTTCTTCTTACATTCCTACCCGCTCTCAAATCAACATAAGTTCTTTTTTTTTAGCATTATTCTAATTACCTCTTTGGCTTTTGTCGGTGAATCAACGTTTCTTTCTTTCTTTCTTTCTTTTTTTCTTTCTTTCTTTCTTTCTTTCTTTCTTTCTTTCTTTCTTTTCATTTTAGATTTTCACTTCATTATTAATTTAATTTTATTACATTTATTCTTTTCTTAATTTATTTTTATTAAAATCCTTACAAGTCCTTCTCAGATATTCGACATATTCCATTATTTTAGTCCAAGATTTTCGAGTCGGTTCTGTAATTGCAGTAAACTTTTCTGAACTATATTTTGCATGTTTTGGGTGTGATTCCCATTTTGAAGATATTTAACTCTGTAATGTACTTTATTCTTTATGTTCTTTCCATCTTTTACATTTTCTCTTAGATTAATTTTGTTCATTTTCAAAATGATTTCTCATTAATTTTTGTTCCTTTTCAAAATGATTCCTCATTTTTACTTATATTGATAAGGATTCTATATTCTTATAATCATCCTTCTATCTCTCAATATATCTAACTAGCCATCCATCAATCTATCTCTCCCAGTTTCTTCATATCTATCTATCTATCTATCTATATATATATATATATATATATATATATATATATATATATATATATATATATATATAATAGGAAGGAACTGGTTAGGTAAATAATCCAAAGTCCCTTAGTATTTTAGTTATTATTTTTTTAAAATAGTGCTCGATACAAAAGTAGAGCATAAATATAATTATTTATTTAAAATATGATTCCAAATCGTTACATAAGAGGTCTCATGTTTCAAAAACAAGAGCCGAAAACTTCTATATAATTCATCTAAATTAAATTGAGTTGAAAGTAAAATGGGCTCCGTTCCATCTTCAAGCGAAATTTTTGTTGGAATATATATATATATATTCATAATCTAGCGCCCTATTTTGTGCCTCAGTTTGCAATGTAACTATCTATACATCTACCTATCGCATTCTGTTCATCATCTAGATATTTACCTATATCTGTCTCAGTTTGTTGATTATCTGTCTGTCTATCTATCTAACTAACGCATTCTGTTCATAATCTAGCTATTTATGTGTATCTGTTTCATTTTGTCCATTATCTATCTATCTATCTATCTATCTATCTATCTATCTATCTATCTATCTATTTTTTAAACCGGTATTGACAAAGGATCATTATGTAATGAGGTGATTTATATTGTTTATACTCTTTAAAGACTTATAAAAAAAAACGAAGCAACTTCATTCTTATCACAAAATGTATCATCAAAAACACACCACGGCAGTTGAAGAAGAGCGTGGATTAAAAATTAACTTGGAAAGTCTTCCATAACTAAATTACTTGTATAGTAACATTGCACCAAAAACGTCATTCTAAAAAATCTCAATAGACAAAGATATCCAATGAACGTAATTTCTCATTCGGTATTTTTGCTAGAATTTAGTTATGAAAATAAACAGTATATCAAAGTTTCCGCTTCCCACTCTACTTCTTAGTTGCTGTGTGGGTGCGCCTTCGCAATCTGAATTCCCGGTTGAGTACAGATCGGTAGTAAGTTCGATCTTCAGTAGGTGCCTCTTACTTTACGCATTGTACAGAAACTATCTTAATCTTTTCGTCCTTGTTTCAGCGTTTCTTATAAATAATTCCTCCTACTATTTTTCTCAGGAAAAGATTCATAAGGCTTCTTATATATACTGTTTACTTTTTTTTATATATACTACTTTTATTTCTTTCTTATATTAGGAAAGGAGTAATCTTTTTTTCCCGCTCTCGTATCTTTCTTACTTGAATCAGTGAAAATTCTCGCATGCTGTAAATCTTTTAATCCCGAATTCTGACTTTGTACAAAGAATGGGGAAACTACAAGGTCATTGTGATGTCTTCCTTAGGTGCTGTTTTCTTTTTAAAAAGTTTTCCAGTCCTGAAAATTAAAATTGTAAAGGAAAAATGAATTATATTTTGCAGGTCGAGAAAGGATTTTTATTCTTGCAGAACCGTATTTATTTTGATTTCTAAACTACATTAGAGACAAAAATAAAACAACTCGAATCAATTTCTTTGCATCAAGCTTAGTTTGAAAAATGACTAAGATAGCTAGATAATAGCATACTCTCTAAATAATTAATTCGTATATTTTTTATCAAATATTTTATCAAATTCGACATGAGTTTGTGGATATTCGTATTTGAAATAAAGGCCTGATTTTGATTTTTCTCCTACAAAAGACAACGCACGTTCGATTCCGGCTGGATATTACTTTACTGAGATTTCTCGACTGCACAGGCAGATAAATATCATAATTACTGCTCGGTCTCACGTTCACTGCTGACCTGAGATGGAACAAATACATTGTGTCAATTGCTTCGTCCACCGCAAAGAAAGTTGGCTCCCTGTGCCACGCCAGGAAATTTTTCTCCCGGAATCGATCCTCCAGATGTACAAATCAACAATTCGCTCCTGCATGGAGTATTACTGCCATATATCGTCTGGAGCCCCTTCTGTTTACCTCGGGGTTCTTGATAGGCTACAGAGGCGGATATGCAATATAATTGGCCCTGCTCTGGCATCTCGTCTACAGTCACTTTCTCACAGACGCGCCGTCGCCTCTCTCTGTCTGTTTTACAAATACTTTCATGGCAATTGCTCCGAGGAGCTGCATTCGCTGGTTCCCAGACTTCATGAGTTCAAGCGCCCTACGAGGCTGGCATCCCGCTCTCACCCTTTCAATGTCGAAACTCCTAAATGTAGCCGTCTCTTCTACTCCAATAGCTTCATGTCTCGCACCCCTCGCCTGTGGAACTCCCTTCCCTATTCCAGTTTCCCTGAGAGCTATAATCACCAACTATTTAAGTGTAATGTCAATCGACATCTCCAGTTGCTTTGATCTATCCACTACCCTTCTCCTCACCCTTTCCTCTATCATTCCTATCTGATCTTGCTCCAAATCTTCTGTAACCCTTTGCGTCCTAGTGGCTTGCCGCCTTGATGTCAGTTATCAGTTATCTCCTCTGAAAGCTCTCCACAGTCTTAACACCAGGACACATGGCACAGTGGATACAGGCATTGTTTAGATCCTGTGAGAGGGCCCAAAGTGTGTGAGTTCAATACCCGGTTAAGGCAGTGGGGAATTTCAGAAGGAAATTAACAGGAGATAACTGATAACTGGCATCCATTAAACATGGCACGTGGAACTAGAACAGTCTACCCCAGTGAGTGAAATAAAGGGTAACGTTCGACATTCCGACCACCGAGACGTTGTAATAAATATGGCGGCAAAGATGAGGACAATTGTCCGAATAATGTAAATAATGTATTAATACTACTACTGCTAATAATAATGATAATAAATGGGCGAAGAAATACAAGTATGGCACAATACAAAGACTGAAGCTGCAAAATTATTAAAAAAAGTAAGCAAAGGCAAATGCAATGGACCAGATACAGAAACGATGGCAAGATAAAGCTTATCACAGCCAATACTCTTCCCGTCTCAAACAAGCTGATGTGGACAAGCCTCGTATAGATCAGTGGCTAAGTAGTGCAGGGTTAAAAGCTGAAACCGTAGGTTTTATTCTTGCTGTACATGACCAATGCTTCTTAAATATAAACAGACATATACTGAAAAATTGTGTTTGCCAAAATGCAGATTCTCTGATAAATATCCAGAAACAATTGACCATCTTGCATCAGGTTGCACGGTGTTGGCACCCACTGAATATAAATACGGCATGAGAGAGTTGGGTAATATCTGCACTTGAAAATCTGCAACTTCTACGGGAAGGAAACCGAAAGAAATTGGTATGAACACCACCCAGACCCGGTTACGGAGGAAGGACGTGTAACAATTTTATGAGACTTCACAATAAACACAGACAGTACAATCGCCCAGACATCGTTATTAGAGACCTCAAACAACAAAAAAAAGGCTCCTTATTGTTATAGCAGTCCTCCAGATTGCAATGTATCTTTGAAGATTTCCATGTCCGGTTAAGGCATTTCAAGGATCTTGAAATCGAAATACCTTACGAAGGGCTTTATCTATGTAAATTACTTGCTTTTTAAAAAAAAAAAAAATTAGTGGAAAATGTCATTATGCCATTTTTGATCTTGGGTCACTTGTAAGGACCCAGAAAGAAATCACTACACACCAATAATAATAATAATAATAATAATAATAATAATATTAGG